ATATGTTGGGGTTAGTGTGGGAAGGCTATGGTAAAGTTTTCCGCCAGATATCATGATGTTTTGGCGAGATATCAGCCAAACAAGGGTCAAAAATTGCTCATTTGGCAAATCAAATTTCTCAGTTCGGGTCCGTGTGATGCATTTAAATTTTTTTCTTGTTTGAAAGAGCATGTCAGAATGCAGTGCAGTACAGAGCCCTTTTTTTAAATACTTACTTGTTGTAGAGAAAAAAATGGATCGAAAGTTCAATGACTCAAAAAATCCTTAAAAAATGGATGTCAAGTTATGTAAGTGTCTGTATATATAATTAAAAAAAAAAGCGCTCTGTACTGCACTGCGTTTTGATGCGTTCTTTCAAACAAAAAAAAAATATATATATTGGACGAGTATCGACAGAGAAATTTGGTTTGCGCGTTCGAGATATTGTGAGCTGAGAAAAAACGAAAAAGATTTTTTGGTTTTTCGAATAAAGGTTATCAGAAATCTCGAAAATTTTTTGAAAAAAATGTGATATCGAAGAGAAGTTTTACCATTTATGAAAGATCAAATGACGGGGTATCTTCCCATGTATTCATCTCAATTTTGACCATTCTAGCGAAAACTGACTTTTTGTGAGGAGGAGGAGGCTTAAACAATTATCTATTGAAAAAAAACTGATGAATTTTGAATAAGAATTTATTCATTATCATTCAATAGATCTTGTCTATGAACTGACATCAGATTTATATTATCGAAGTTTTATCAAAAATAAAAGTAACATGCGGTATTTCATTCATTGACATATGTTAATATAATCAATTGCTTGACTATGCTAATTAATATAAACAATAAAATTTTATTCGTTTTCTAAATACTTTTCCAATCAAGAGTAAAGTATCAAATCATGAATCAATAAGAATTTTGTACAACTACATATATAACGTACTTAGTTAAACATATTAAACTTACATATATTTAGATGTATTCTTTTTTTCTCAAATTATTGTTTGATAAGTCGTAGCTCATTCGAGATTATTAGTACTTAAGAATTTATAGCCTTAGGCTTCAAGAATAGATACTATTAATTAGAAATAAATTTAAAAAAAACAAATAGTAATTATTCATTTCGACAAAAGAATGACGAAAAAAAGATTCGAATCATGCATTCAAAATATGTCACATGTACTGCAATTTAATGTCTTTTTTTTTATTATGTTACGAAATAGACTGTACGCAACTCATTTTATATTAGTATATAACTAATCTCTTATCAGAGAAGCACTTGAAATGATTTATCGCTTTTCAGCTTAGAGTTTGGCCATATGGACTTTCTTTGTAGAATTATGAGTTTTGTTGGATTTTTACTATAATACGAGAGAAATTAATCAGTGAATTAAGTACTTCTAAGGAAAATTTCAAAGAAAATCTCTTTAATTTGACTGTATGATCAAAAATTCAATAAAAACATCAAAAGTCAAGAAGTACAACATATGGAGATAAATCTTTCTAGACTATTTCTATTCAGATCATAGTCTACAAACTAGTATACATCCGATTCAAAATGGTACATAATATTTGAGTACAATAACTAGTACTCTTTGAAGACAAAATAAAATTTTAGAAAAATTATCAACATTGAGTATATATTTTATTTATTAGTTATTAACAATGATGTAATATTATTCATATTTTTCATTCTTATCTGGCGACAAATCTTAATAGATTTAACAAAAATAGTTTATGTTGTATCATATTTAACAGGCATTGTTATTGTTAAAATCTATAATATAAATTAAAATAATGAATAATAATAATAATCAATCAAAAAAATTTCTTACATGAGTAGCTTTATCAAATTGTGCACCACATTCATCAGAATCAATATCAATTGGTAACCATATATCCAAATGATAAATATTTGAACGTGTAGTTAATACAATACGATCAGTACCAATATCAAGTGTTAATGTTTTAGCAGATTTCTATGAAAAACACAAAAAAAAAAAAAAAAATTAATCTTAAAAGTTTTTTTTTTTCTTATTAAACTCACCACTTTAGGTAATTGAATATCCATAATTAAAAAATTTGGATTACCTTCAAGTGGTTCACGTATAATTTTATATTCTGGTACAGATCTATATTAATTCGATATAAAAACAAAAAAGACTTTAGTTAATTGATATAAATTTTTATATAATATATAAAACACACCCTTTTTCAATAATTAAATTTGTATCTCTAAAAGAAATACATTGAAATTTTAATTGAAAAGTAGAATGAAAAAAAATCTAAGTTAACAAACATTTTTTGTTCAATATTATTTGTTGTTTGTTGATCAACTTCGACAATGAATGGTTTAGCACGAACTCGAATATATTGTTCAGTTAATTGTCCCATATATTTACGATTTTTGAGTTTGATCCAGTCTGAAGTAATAAATTATTTTCTTGTTTTAAATTTTATTTTTATATTTTATATATTTAGAATATATTCTTTTTTTTTTTTTTTCTATTCATAATTTCAATTCTTATCATGCTAAGTTAGATCAAGCAAATCAATTGTTTGTAACCAAGGTAGTAAGATGGTAAATACAGTTGCCTTTTACTGTTCTATCGTTAGGTAAAAAAGAAAAGGGAAAGAGAGAGAGAGAAAACGACGATGACTTTCGATTAAGATTCAACGTAAGAAAAAAAAGAGTAAACAGGTGACACGTATATACCCAGGTCATATAACTCATATAGTGCGACTAGTCACTACGGTCGATTAAGCAAGCACAGTGTTACACTTCACTGATCGGATCAAGCAATAATTTAAAAAGCAAGTCATTTTCCTATTATCAACATATAAAAGATTCACATATGTAGAGTTTATGATGAGTGGAATTGAGACAAGCGTAAAGCGATCGTAACACACACCTGGAAAAAAAGAGAACAAAAGACTTGGACACCCACATGCTACATCAAACATTAGATATAATCAATAGCAACGATGTAAAATAAAAGAATCAGCAATCCATTTGTTAACAAAAAAAAAAAACATGACATTTCCCATGCATAGAACGAAGGTCTGAATGATTAAAATAAATAAAAAAAGAAAAAGACTCTCGTTCGTTGCCATTCAGCGGTAGTATAGCATCAAAAAAAAAAATCTAGATTCTTGTATTTATTGTAAGTAAGTGAAGTAGAAAGAGAAGAAAGAAGTATCGTTAGTGCTCAATCCACATAGTTCACTTGAACATTCTCATGAACAGGTCTATGATCGTTTCCTGTTCTCATCATGTGCCCACTTTTTTTCCTCATCGTTATTCTCGTCTTCTTCGTCTCTTTCTTTTTTTTTTTTTTTTACTCGTTTGTTATTGTTGTACGGAAAGTGAAAGTAATGGTACTAGACACCACCCATCACAAAAAAATTTCTTCTTTTATTCTTTCAATTTTTTTTTTGAAAAAAGACGATGACGACGACGGAGCCTATGAAGAAAGGGACGAAAATGCATTTTTACATATATATATATATATATATATCTGGATTAGGGAGACGCACGCACATAATAAGGACGCAGAAAAAGCAGAAGAAAAAGAAGAAAGGAAGAAGAGAAATAATAATACGAATAAAACTATGACTACGTAGTGACGGTGGGACACTCTAAGAGTATAGCTCTCGCTCATACTCTCGTTCTCAGTCACTTGCACAATGTAAAGACAGAAAGAACACGAAGGAGAGAAGATCGGTGCCTAGCAACAACACACATCGTGTCTACCTACTCGATGCACCGTTGTGTCGTATTTGGTTTAGACTCTCTTACGATTACTTTTTCTTCTTTTTTTTTATGACTTGTCATTCGAGACGACTTCTCTTTCTCTATTACAGATCGAACCATTCTTCTTATCCCTTATCCACATAGAATTTCTTATTCATACATATATATATATATATATATTCAATTCCATAGATATTTATATTTCAAAGATATGAACGATCAACCAACAGATTATTCGTCGATTGATGCATTTCATGTTGGACGTCGTCGAAAACCAAATTTTACTGATCATGAAGTAATTAATATTATTGATCAATATGATGTATATAAAGAATTATTACATTCACGTGAAGCATCAAAAAGTGTTATAGCACAAAAACAAGCTATATGGAAACAAATAACAGATACACTTAATGCAACATATCCACAAGTTGAACGAACTGTTGAAGATGTACGACGTAAATGGAAAAAATTACAAAGTGAAGCTAAACGTGAAGTAGCTGCATATCGTGCAGCACAATCAGCTGGTTCAACAGCACCTGTATCAAATAAACAAATGAGTTTATATAATAGAATATTATCTATATGTCGTGCTCCAATATCATCATCATCACCACATTTTGTTCATCATGCAGCTGTTGCTGCAGTTATACATCATCAACAACAAGCTTTACAATTACAATCAAATATAAACAATGGAAATAATAATCATCATCATCATCATCATGAAACAACATTTAATGAACGGGTTAGTTATGAGAAAAAGAAAAATAATAATAATCATAAATTTAGATTGTTTATGTTAAGAGAAATTTTCTTTTTTTTTTGACTTAAGATTCTCTTACATAATGATGATGAAATTATTATTCATATTCCTTTCGTTCTAATATATGACTTTTATTTGCTTTGTTAGTTGAAATAGATTCAAAAAAAAAAAAAAAAAAAAGTGGGAAAAAGAAAGTCGTTCTTCTTATTTCAAAAAACAGCATGAAGAAGTTCCGAGATAAGATAACAAGAGATTTTGTCAAGTAAAAAAAGAAAAAAAAAACTACTTCCGGAACTACAGAAATATGAAGCGAAGAGTTTCAATCTAGATTCTGATTTTAGCTAATCAAGTCTTCATTCTAGATATCATTATCCGGATATATTCACAATAATTGCATATATCATGCAATCTTTCCGGAATAAAAGACAAATCGTTATTTTTCTATTCATTTTTTTTTATAAAAATGAAAAAAAAAAAAGTAATGTTTTCATCCGTGAATGTCTGTCAAATTTAATCATGTCTAAGAACACTTTTATACTTTGTCAAACTTAATTAAATTTATATATATATATCTTTTTTATTTTTAGTCATCAGATAAAGCAGATTCTCCATCATCAGATCTTGCAAATGGTATTAATGGACAATTAGATTCTGCAGGTGATGAAAGTGCTAGTCTACTTGGTAATGATGATAATTCACCAAGTCCAGCAACAAGTCTTCAACCAACATCACTTTCATCATTTCTTACACCACAACAAATACATATAACATCAAAAATGACAAGTAATGGACAAATATCTAAACGAACATTAGATAAACAACGTAAATATTTAAAATTATCACAAAATCATCAATTTATTAATTCAATAAAATCTTATGGACAACAACAAAATTCACTTCGTTTTGAATCATTAATTAAACGTAAACGTACACTTGAATTAGCAAGTCAACGACTTATTTATGATAAAGAACGTTTATTACTTGAAAGAAAAAATCTTGATGTTAAATTAGCAGCTAATGAATGTGAAAATGAACGTATTACAATTGAAAAACGTCGTACTGAATTAGCTATTCAAAAATTTCAATGTGAATTACCAATAACAACAAATGGTATAAATAATCATCTATCTGATCAAGATGATCATGATGATCATAATAGTCTTGACGATATGAGTGATATTAACGAATAGGTTAGTTGTTATGCACAATTTTGTCTGTTAATGTTTGTTTCAAATTCCGTCCACTTTTTTTTTTGCTACTACTCCCGAATCTCTTTTTTTGTTTTCGTTCTATTAATCAGCGCTAGTGTGATATTGTTTCTTTTCTCTTCTTGTGCGTATTCATGTGATACTCAGAACAGAACAGAGGCTAAAAAGAAAAAGACAGAAATCTATTGTGATACTCGCATCCATTTGACATGCAAACAAAAAAAAGCAAAGCAAAGCAAAACAAAACAAACTAATGTTCTTTCCAATGCAATGCACTATGCTATTATTGATCTTAATTCATTTTTTTTTCTCATGGTGTTCACTACATGTATATGTATCTATCTTTGCATTTTTCTTTTTTTTTTTTTGAATTCTTTATGCGTATTTTTTTTTAAAACTTCATTGGTATTGATGCTTCTTTATTTGTACGTATGTGTTGTGCAAACGAAAAAACAAAATACATTAAGTGAAATCATATATAACTTACCAGTATCAAGTTTAAATTGTGGATATTTATTTTCTAAACCTTCATAAATTAATGTAAGTAAAAAATTCATAAATGTTTGACTTGAATGTGCACGACGAAAAAAATCCGGATGAATAATAACAGTAAAAATTGTACAAGCTTGTCCATCTGAATAAAAAGAAAAAAAAACCATTTCTTAGTTTTGGTTTTTTTTTTAATTTGATATAAACTAACTTTTATCAAGATCAGCTATTGGTTCACCTAAACTAATTGGTACACGATATCGTCCTGGATCTTCTGATTTAACAATTTCAATAAGTTCTTCTTCAGTAATTTCTCTTGGAGGATTAATTTGAGATGATATACAAACATTAATAAAGATTTTTTCATTATTTTTTTCATCATCAAGTCGTTTTGTTTTTAAACAAAAACCTAAATTTAAAGATAGTTTTTTAAAAATTAATCATATTTTGTTTTATTTTTACCAGGTTCAGGTTTAATAGCAAGACATTCATCATTGTTGTTTGTTGTTTGTTTATTTTCATCAGATTTTTTTGGTAATGTTACCTATTAAATGATTAATAATATATGAAAATAATTGAAAGAAATAATATTCTACTTGTTTAAGAAAATTTTGAAATTCTTCATCTTCTTGTTCTAAATCATTTAATTGCATAATTATCTAGAAAGAAAAAAAAAACAAAGAGAAAGTTCTAAGCCTTATTTTTTTTCTTTTTGCTTTATAAAATTAAAATAATATTCATTTAAAGAACATTCTTCAATTAATTTTTTTTGTATACTGATGAGTGATATCATGTACAGGTAAAGATTAACTATATTGACATTGTTTTTAAAATGTTCAAGTGCTGTTCATTTTAAGAAGTAAAATGATTTATTTTTCTATGAATCTGCAAAAGAAAAAAGGGGAAAAATGAATAAAATATTTGGAAAAGTTCTTGAAATAAATTTAATAACAATGACGAATGTCATTGAAATTTTAAAGAGTACTTCTCTCTCATGGTTGCCATATTACAAAGTTTGAATAGAGTGTAGGTAGAGTACGATGATTTAATAAATGAAGTAGACAACTTTTAAAATAATATAGAAAAAGTAAGTTGTAGTATGCTTTTAGCAAGAATATCTGTCACTTTTGATGTTTTTTTTTTTGTTCAAAAAAAGAATTTTTTGAAATATTCATTTTCTATGATAAATAAACTAAGTTTCAAGATAATGCGATCTCAGATATTAATTTGTTAACGTCTTATGTACGATAGGTATATTTTATGTATAGAGTTTATTATTTACGCGAAGAAATCAATTTAAAATTATAATATAAAAAATACCTATCGATAATTAGAAATTTTTCTTTAAGAGTTTCGTGGTCATGGTTATTGTTTTAGAGTCATTTTACTAAATTTTTGACCTGAAAGTTTCAATCGATACGAATGCTCCTTTGTTAAGATACTGAATTTCCAAAGAAACAAATGAATTGAACCCCCCGCCAGAATAAAAGGGCGTGCCCTTATACAGTGTCTTAGTACATCGCTACTTTTTGGATGGCCTTCTATTGGGGGGTCAATTTTTGACCAGTTTTTCATTAAAATTAATAACTTTAATTATTATTTTTTGCTGCCATTTTTTGTAAAAATTGTATTACTTATGATAGGAAAGGAAGGATTTCGCAAAAAAAAAGACATTAGAAAATCGGTTATATTTCCTTAATTATTAATTAATATTTATCAAAATTTTGGAATATATTAATTAATTAGTACATGACCTTCTAATAGGGCGTTTGAACTTTTGCTCGGACATGGTCTTAAACAGGGGATGGCCGTCTATTTTTTTGAGATAATAATAATGTAAATTCGATATCGAATACAATTTTCAATAACAGAATTTGACTCATTTTTATTCAAAATTTTAATCAAACAATTTCAAGTTCAAACCTACTATAATACCATAATTGTTTTAGTTTTAATTCATAAATAAATTCAAATTAAACAAAAAAAAAATCAAATCATCATTTTCTATTGTTAGAAAATATAGAGTTTTGTTCAAATTTGTACATCATTCATTCTAAAATAATGATTCATATATAACCAATGACAACTATTTATTTAACCAATAGAATTTATCTTATAACAATAAATCTTTTATAATAATTAAATAAAAATTATTCATTTAAGTTTTTTTAAATTAATTTATTTATCATCTAAAAATATAATATATATATAAATGTTAATATTTCCATAGAATATTTAATGGATTAATGAAAATTTCTTTACTTTACTTTTATATTCACTTGTATAAAACATTAGACGAAACAAAACAAATTTAATTATTTAATATCATGTCTACTAAATCAACATTTATACCTAAATATGAAATAGCAGCTGGTCTTCATAAAGGTCATAAACTTGAAAAATTTATTTCAAAACGTATTCGACCAACACGACGTGTTCAAGTAATTTAATTTTTTTTATTTTTCTGTTGAAATTACCTTTTTTTTTTGTCTATAGAAAAAAAGCAAACATGTTAAATTTGTTCGTGATCTTGTTCGTGAAATCGTTGGTTTTATGCCATATGAACGACGAGCTATGGAATTAATGAAAGTTAGTCGTGATAAACGTGCATTGAAATATATTAAAGCTCGTGTATGTAGAAAAAAAACTTTTGAAAATTAAATTTTTTATTTTTTTTTGTATAGTTAGGAAGTCATCAACGAGCCAAAAAGAAACGTGATGAACTTCAAGCTGCTATTCTTGCACAACGCAAAGCTCATAAATAAACGTTTTTTTTTGTGTTTTAAAGAAATAAAATATCGAATGAAACATCTCATTATGATATATAAATAAACATTTGTTTTATTATTTCTAGATTAATATGGATAAAACTCCTATACATGATCCATCGATGACACCAATGCCATCGACAACAACAGGTAGTAATGTTTTACAACCAAAAGCAATGGTTTATATTTGTGGTGAATGTCATAAAGAAAATGAATTAAAATCAACGGATGTTATTCGATGTAAGATAAATTAGAATAGGATTAATTAATTTATAATATTGATAGAGTTTTTTTTTGTATTTAGGTAATGAATGTGGTTATCGAATATTGTATAAAAAACGAACAAAACGATTAATTGTTTATGATGCTAGATAATTCTTTTTTTTGTTTTAATATTTTGAATATAAATATTCTTGATGTTTTAAATGTAAAATAAAAGTTATTTGTGTAATCTCTACGCAATTTTTGAATGAAAGATATCAATCTTACAGTAGGCTTTAGTCTCAGAGCAGAGATGGACTAAGTCGCACCGCGCCGTTGCTCACGCCTACGCTACACTAGTCTGAGCTTTGATGAGCGCATGCTTAGAGCATCCCGGTATTCAGTGGAGTTTGAGAAACTGATTGGTAGAGCAAAAAGAAAGAGAGATGTGCGTAGCGCCTAGGCGCGGTACGATTTTGTCCATCTCTGTTTCAGAGTTATGTTTAGCAGCTGATGAGAAGAAAAAGGTCTATTTTTTTTGTAGCCTGCCGGTGCAAATGACTAGCCCTATGAAATAAGGATATTAAATTACACTGAATGATATGTAACAGAAAACAATTTTGAAGAAAAAAGTAAAGGCAAAGGCCATCCTCCGGAAATTTTTGTTGCAAAATTCTTTTCCCTAAAACAAAGAACCGCTTTTCTGCGGCATTTCCGATCATTTCTAAATAAAGAAATCTGTTTCCGAGCAAGAAAGTCATTAGGTCTGCCTGCCATACGAAAAATGCGTCTTGCAGAAAAGTGTAGACTCAAATTTTTATTCCTATACTTCAACATTTCTTTTAACTCATGATTCACACAATAAAGAAAGGTATAGTTTACTGTTTACATAAACTGGTAAACTACTGTTTCATTGAACAAAATCTGCCTTACAAAGGAATTATTTCAAGTGTTCTTAGAGCTTCACCACGAAGCATAGATATCTATTACAACTAGAAGCCTACTGCATCGCCATGGATATCCTTTCTCAAGAGTTATAGTCATTTTACTGGGATCTTAGGCTATAACATGGAATGTACAAACAAATTGAATGACGGTTTTTTTTGACCTGAAATATTTCCTACACACGAAATGTAAGTGAATTTTGGAAATTCAATATCTTGTGAAAACATTGGTTTGAGCTAAAATTTCCAAAACATTCTAGTCTCAAGTAAATCTCTCCGTGGACGAAATTTCGGGTCGAAATACTGCTATTCGATTTGTTTGCACGTAAGATAGCATAACCTAAAATTACTATACTACCAAGAACAAAATTATGGCAAATCGTATTTTTGATGAATATTTTCATGAGTAATCAACAAGAAATAACACAAGGTTTTTTGAAAACTTTGTCTTGATTTCTCATCCATCAAAAATACGATTTGCGATAATTTTGTCCTTGGTAGATACCTAATGCATAGAGTGCGAACTCAAAAACAATTTATTTCTTGAAATGTTTCCCTCATTATGAGAGAAAGAAATTAG